CAAGACCGATAAATACTCTAGACTGCTCATATGGGTCAAGTAGTAATCAATATTATTTCCAGTAGTAAATTAACTAATTTTCAAAAGTTTCACAATCTGGTTCAATAATCTAAACGTATCACACTCAGTAATGATGCATAGAATTTCGCTGGAATTCTTGTTGCACAGTGATGAGAACTTATAAAGTGAAAATAAACTGTTGTTCAGTCAATACTGATTTTATTGATATGGAATATTAGTTCTTACTTTGCAGATTATATTATGAAAGACAATTAACTAGGACAGTGAAAACCAGAAAATGATGAACAAGTATACTATTGAGCAGTATGGAGCCGCTCAAAATTACTCATCTGGGGAATTAACCAGTAATAGAACTTTTAACCATCATGAATTGTGACTGGTATTTAACTTCCAGATCACTGAATTAACATTTGTTGGTGTATATTTCTGATTTATATTGACCAGCGATATTACAAGATGATCATTTATTCTCACTGATGACACATATAGCACACCGTACCGATATCTCGTAATGGGAATTACTAAACATTTGAATCATTATTCATTAATATATCGTTGTATAAATGATTAACTTTCCATTATGAATGTCAAAACAATCCCATTGTATGGAGATTACACTTGGAGAACTACAAAAAGTATCATCCAAATCGGACAGATATGTATAAACGGTTGAACACACTATATATTCCAGATACGTTGGCCAGACATCATCGACAACAACCAATTGTGACAGAGAACAAACAAGCTTCGACATGCGGAAATCATCGAACTGTGTCACGAGCCAGCCCTCTACTTAGAATTCTCAGGGCAGAAGGAAAAAACGAAGATCAGTGAACTCATTGTACTGAGAATTAAAGTCAGACATGAAAAAAATAAATAGCACTTGAAAATAAATGGAAAGGATAGTTCAGAACAGAGTTGATTGTAGATCTCAGGTCGGTGGCATATTTTCTACGGGAATCAAAGGCGTAAGTGATCAATTTGTTACAAGCATAAACCAAAATACACTAACTAACAACAAATTCTGAATAATTTCCAGAAGCGGTTAACAAGTATCAAATCAAATAAAGAACTGTCTATAATTCAAAACATTCTAGCAGTCACATAATGACAATCTGCTATTCATAAATTCATACATATTATTTATTTGACTCGTTCAGGTGTGTAGGATCGGACATTATAATAGGGATTTGTTATAACTGTGAAAAAATAATGCTGCTGATTAAGGGGGTAGCGAATTATTGATCGGACCAAAGACGCACAAACACGTAGAGCGACCTAGGGTTCTGATTGGTCCCGCTTCCCTGTCTAATCCAGCCAGTTGAGTCCAGAACACAAGTTTCAGCCTCGGATATATGAATCATTATATTGAGATTAGATGGTGGTTGGAGGTAGTCAACAGGAAACCCTGGACCCAGGTTTCGTGCTACTTGGCACTCGTCAGCAAGGTGTACCTGTAATCTTGAGGGAACTGGTGCTCCCTGACGGATTCGATCTCGTGTCACCCAGCTTCACAGTCAGAGACGTTACCACTGAACTATCCGAGCCGTGACTAACCTCCTGTAGGACTGAGATGCAATCACAATTGATTGATCACTGGGTGGTGATCAATCTCATCCTTGTCTAGTCCTTATTAGTGCAGTCCTTATTAGTGCAATCAATTGTGATTACATCTCAGTCCTACAGAAGGTTAGTCACGGCTCATATAGCTCAGTGGTAACGTCTCTGACTGTGAAGCTGGGTGACACGAGATCGAATCCGTCAGGGAGCACCAGTTCCCTCAAGATTACAGGTACACCTTGCTGACGAGTGCCAAGTAGCACGAAACCCGGTTCCAGGGTTTCCTGTTGACTACCTCCAACCACCATCTAATCTCAATACATAGTGCCAGCATTGTCGAGTCACCTAGACTGGTGGCCACATTGCAACATGATCGATAGCATTCGATCTGCACTAATAAGAACTAGACAAGCATGACATTGATCACCACCCAGTGATCAATCAATTGTGATGAATCATTATATCTCAAACACACTTTGTTTATATACCAGTCAAGCAGATCACAACATACCATAAAAAAGAAAATAACATTGTACAATAATGGCCAGTAGGAAAATGACACGTTAAACAAATGTTGACCAATAAGATGATACCATTTCATGTCCAAGGATAGCATTATGCTTAACAGGATAATTTTTGGGATATTTTCCTGAATATCCCAACAGGATCATACATCCCAGACAAATCAATTATAATTCAACGTTTTTATTGGTTACCGAGTATATAACATTCCATTAAAAAAAGAAGCCAAACGCTTCTACTCTAATGGTTCAGTAATTATGCTAATATTCTCTTTTATTATAGTCATAAATTTCATTTAGAATATCATTTCATTCCTATTGCCATGGTGAATCATTTCTTCAATATTCATTTTTCCCTTGTGTAATCAGTTTAAGGATTCTTTATGTGAATCTCTTCAAAAGAAAATAATTTAAATGCAAAGTATACCAACAGGCAGACATGCACACCCATTAAGACATGTATATATATCTACGTACATATTGAGAAATATTACTCAAAGGATATAGAGTATGACCTTATTTAACAGATTTAAAAAGGTATTATAGAATAAAATTAACAGATTAAAGCTTAACGGTAGAGAATTATGATTAGAAATGACAGTATGAACAACTCATTAGGATAACAGAATGATCAGTTTCTATTATTTATCGGAAGCTAACAATTTATATTATCTTGAGTGATCTTTTATTCTATTGATAATTACTTGCTTACTTACGCCTGTTACTTATTGTGGAGGAGCATAAGCCGCCTACTACCATTCTCCATCCAACACTGTCCTGGACAATCCTTTCCAATTCATTATATTGATATCTGCTTCCAATTCATGACGAAATGTGTTCTTTGGCTTTCCTATTTTCTGTTTCCCTTCACGATTCCAAGTTAGGGCTGGCTTCGTAATACAGTTTGGGGATTTCCATGGTGTTTGTTAAATCAAACTCTAACGTCTTTTCATGAATTCATCTTCAGATTGAAGCTAACTTGCTCTCTTTCAGAGTAGGCTGTTGCTGATGGTATCCAGCTAAAATATTAGTGAGATAAAAATAGTTTACGGATTAGAAATATAATAGATAGTTGCCCACTTAAAAGATATGGATAAAACAAAACAAGAAAACTGGAACTAGATTGTACACGTTACCTTTACATGAAGAGTCTACTTTGAAACGCGGAACTTCCAATGACCCTACAGTGCACAAGTTGACGATTCATGGTTCATTCTAGGTCAACCCGCTCGGCTGTGAATGCTGCTCTGAAAGATGGTTTTGATGAGTTGACATCATAAAAATTTGTGCAATGTTCGGTACTAAACTGTTAACTGTTTGGAATTCCTCTGAAGTTTATTTAAACAGAGTTCATATTGCGTCTCATAAGATCTGTGAACGCTTTGGGATGAAATCTTACTGTGATTCTTATTGCAATCAAACCACAAAAACTTCCGTACATTTTCAGTATGTGAAACAAACTTGAAGATTTTCTACGTTTATTTGTAACTAGTTAATTTAGTTCTATAGTAAATGATTTTTTTTACTGTCTTAAGCATCCTTTCTTTGGGATTTACATGGAGAAACATCTCATCTTATGAATTATAATTCACTTGATTCTGTAATAATAATTATTAAGTTCCATTTACTGGGTTTGGAAACTATCAAGATAAAACTATAATTGATTTAGTTAGACGTGTCTACAGCCTTGCAAGAATTGATCTTCTGTTTGAAGTTCTAACCAATTCAGCTGATGCAATAATTTATGACGTTACCTTTGAGATATTTGGACCCTTAATGATCTCCAGTAGAACTTAAATTGCTGATTAGTATCATGTTTGTTTAGCCTATAAATCTGATTGAATGCTCTAGGTTAGGATCCACTATTGATATCAGTCTAAATGATTTTTTAAAAAAACTGTTTCAAAATCCAAGTGATTACGTTTCTGACTATAACTTTAGGTTACACTCATTTTAATTTGTCAAGAAGTAGCAATTAAATTAAGATTACCAACTAGTTAAAAATCTGGCTTCAAGCATTTATTTTTCTTAGTTACTTCCAATTAATTAATATAATTAGTCAATAAAAGAAGAATAATCTATTTGTAAAATCTTAGCGAATGAATCTGAAGTAAATCCAAATTTTCACCTGGCAATGTGGTCCAAGCTTTTTCAAGGAAATGTTATTTCTTTCCTCTTTAATTGTCTCATATCAACTCGGCGCCCAAATACTGTAAAATTATTCGATCAAATTTAGATGAAAGTTCTTATTTATAGTTAGTCTATGTTATTCTATACTAAAACATTCACCTAAAAAATTGTTAATTAATAAGAAATTTCGTTGAATATCAAGATTACTTTATATTGCCGATATTTGGTTCAAACCAATGAAATGAATCCTAACGTTCAAATTTACTCTTAATACTAAATTTTGATTGGTTACTTCTTATTTAAAATTATTATATTGACCAATCAAATTGAAGTATGTAATGAAATACCTTATATATATATAGATCTCATATATAATTGGTCAGAATTTATTTTCTACCATGTAAAACAGTAATCATAAGCACATAATAAATTCTACACTTATAATCTGTCATGAACAACATTCCATTATAAAGAAAAATAAAGAAACCATCATTGAATGATAGATGATGTATAATATGAAGAAAAGAAAAAATCAATATTCAAAACTTCATATCGTATATTTACAAAAATACAATGGAAAACAACTAAACTTTATCTTGTAACTACATATATAACTAAAAGTTGACATCATTAACTTGATCATCATCATCATCAATAAGATATTTCTTAAAAAGGAAAACAATTTTGGGATTAATTTTATCACTACGTGTTTTTCTTATTAAAAAAAAATTTTTTTACTATGTGGTTAATTTAAGGAAGAGAAAAATTATGGGTTGCGTGAATACAAAATCAATTTTAGATAAATCCATTGAAGAAATTGAAAAACCTGAAATTTTATTGAAAGTAAGTATGAAATAAATTACTTATTTAATTTATTGTTATGATTGATTATTTGTATATCAGTAACTGATGAATTATTTCTAATAGGAATGATTAATCAAAGATGGCAAGTGATTAGCAGTGAAATCAAGGATGCACGTTTCGTCCTATTAGGGACTCATCAACTGTATGTATCTGCATCCTAGAGTTGACGTTCGAGTCTCGGGATGTAGGTCCATCCAGCTGATGAGTTCCAAATAGGACGAAATGCGTATCCTTGATTCCACTGTTAACCACTATTCATCTTAGCTTTAAAAAACTTGTGATTTAAGGCTATATTGAGACAATGCACACAGGATGTATACATGCCAATATGTGACTGATCAATTGCAATCCTAAAACAACAATGGGAAGAAATAAGTAAAACAACAAATGAATTTGGGAATGATTAATTCTTGGAAAATGATTTAAAAATATAAAATTCATCATTGTCAAGTTTGTCATCGTTATAATAAATGAAAATATACATTTATTTGGATTATAGAAATTTGTATTAGTGTAGAAGTTGTAGTTTAAAGTTTACAGTAATTGAATTGATGACTAATTCATCTTATACCGTATAAAACGTTTATTCATCAAGAAATGTACACTCAGATGAAGTATCTTTTGAGAAGTTTACTGTAAATTTGAAAGTTAGAATGCATTCAGCAGCTGAGTGAAGAACGCGATGGCGTTTGAAGCTAATGGTACAGGGCTCGAGTCCTAGAGTAAACACCAATAACAGACTGATCAATTGCTGTCTTAAACTTCGATAGAAAGATTCAAGCAAATAATACCAAGTATATATATGTATATATATTGACCTAATGGCTTTCTAAATGATTTCTTAACTAACATTACGTTTAGTATTTTATTAACAATGTAACATTCTCTATAAAAATAAAGATATAGTGTAAACAATAATTCACTTACAGAATTGAAGCGTTAATAATTTCCCTTTGGTTTGATACTTGTAATACATGTTACTTCAAATCATTATGTGATTGTAAAAGATTCCATTCTTATGTCCCTTGTTCTTTTGAGTATCTGTAAATTGGGATGAATGAACTTAAAGAGGGTAGGATAAGACATTCGAATAGATCATTTTAATTATCCCATGTAACTGAACATCGCTCTATTAAGATAATAATCAATAAAGGCCTTTCAATTTACAATATTCATATGGAATTCCTTTGTTGTGTAGTGTGTATATGTTTACAATAATGTGTATATTCTTGATGTTTTTAATCTTTAGATAATCAGCTTGAATTTAGGCATTTTCTAAATGGAAATATCTCGTTTCTATGATATTTTTGTGACTACAAACGTTATACGCCAATCAAATTAAGATATGATAAACTCAATTATTTATGCTACTGATTGTTATAGGATTGATAAATAGGGATTAGTGGAGATTATAGAATCCCCATAGTTTAAATTATGAACTGATCTTAGCTAGATCACCACTGAAAACTTTAAAGTATTGAACAGATGTTTTGTCACAGTACGGCGTTACTCAGTAGTTTTCATCTATAACCCCACAACTGGAAATCAAACTCGATATCTTCGATCTCGCGCTCGGATGCCTATATTTGCAGCCTAATTTGACCGTTTATTTATTTATTGTGAACTTGTTTAGTGTTTGTCTGTATGTGATGATTGGTATTGAAGAAAACAAGTTAACTTATTACACAATGACATTCATGATTATTTATAGAATTCACGGGAAGACGAAACTGGTTATCATATTTTTTTGATTATATGAGAGTAAATAGTAGTAATCATAATTTTTAGTAGCCGCACCTCTTAAGTTAATGAACAAGTTGTTAAATATATGTATTCTACGAATAGTATTTACACACTTTACTTTCACTATTGTTCGTATAAAGTAAACTTAACGAAATACTTGTTTGCTAAAGGCATAGTTAACATCTTCAATTGATTTTAGCTAGGAACCTAACGTAGAGCGTTAGAGTTGTATAGAGTATGAACTCAATAGACTTTCAGAGAACGATTCTGGAATCTTGAGGCTTTCGGTTGATCTCCCTACTTTTGAGTTACTAACCAGTAGCACACTCTGTTAACTTTAGCTATTCCATGATACTCGAATGCTATTTGTTTTATTTGACCGCTATGATGTTTGCGTCTATAAATATGATTGAGCTTGTGTTTCAACTCAGTTCCTAGAAAATGACATTAACCGGTCAACTGTAGCTTGGTTTTTTCAGCAGTATAATAACATTCAATAGAATTTGTTTCCTCATTGTTCTGTTAAATCGTTTCCAATTCACTCATTTCAATGACATTGTAATCCAAATTATATATTCAGTAATTTTATTAAAGGCATATAAAACAAAACACTGGTTTGAAACTAGTATAAATCGTTAAGACAGTGTACAATAGAACTTGATCTGATTACTTATGATTACTTATACATCAACTAATTTTTTCATGACGGAATAACTTTATTCATAGAACCATTGAAAACCGGGGATAGCTGGAGCGTTATTTTGTTCTTGGATAAGACTCCTTATCATTGAGTGATCTATAGGTTAAGCGTTCACTGAAAAGCCTTGAAGATTCTATTTTCGTTTCCCAATTAGTTTGCGTATACGCAATCTTGAAGAGTCCCATCGTAGAATAAAAAATTTTCAATTTTTTTTCCCTTGTTTTCGTTGGTCATCAAACTAAAATGAACTCGTGAGGTATGACAACAAAATTCATTATTTTTGTAAAACTCCATTTTATTAAAATATATTAATTACTATCTTTAAATCTTATATTTCACTCAGTGGGAGAGATAAGTTTAAAGGGGGATGACTTCTAATATTTAACTAAAAGTGTTGTACTACTTGACAAAAAAAACACAACTTATTCAAGTCCATAATTAAGTTCAGTGTGATTACTTTGAAATTCGTGTTGATAGAAGCTAGAACTGTGATGAATGTAGACTCCCTACCATCCTACTCCCCTATTAAGTATTTTAAACGTACATTTATACTGTTTATATTGATTTGAACAACTGTCTGTCATTTACAATCTAATTAGTGAAACTATTAGTTGGTTATAATAAGTTGGTTTGTGTGATTTACTTTTTAAATTCGACATCTTGACTAATTTATTGTGTTGTCAAGAGAAAAAATTGTATTTTCATTAAACGTATAATGTTGGGTAACTGTAGTCAAGTAGCAGGAAGTTCTGCTTGACCTGTGTTTTGTGTTCATTCACACTTTTAAAAAAAGGATGCCTACAATGTTGAACAAACTATTGATCATTGAGAAATCCTCACTGGTATCTTACCTTCTTTTCTTTTCATCATGTTTATTATTTATTATTTAAACACATAAATATTGGTACAGGAAGGCATCAAATATATATGCACCACATAATACATTCGATTTGTGTGAGATGGTTTTTCAAGGGGCCACTCCCCAAACCTTTGACCTAAAGGTTTAATCCACATGGCAGTGGAAAAACGTCAGCAGATGCAGTCCTGTGATAGCCAGTGACAAATAATAAGTTCATAGGTCATTTGTCCGTCCACGATCCTGGAGCTCATGTGCACCATTGATTTGGAATTACAGTTTTCCAACTCCTCTAGGTAGATGCTCCATATCCACGAACCTGGCTAAGGCATCGGATATTTTCCTTTCGTCCTCTATATGTCGTAAATAACACTCTCACCATGAGAAAGCAGTGAATAGGACTTTCATGTCAATATTCTCCATATTTCACTCCTTCTCTCTGATATGCTTGTTTGTGGAAAAATAATCTGTTTTATACGACTGATAGGTCTTGAGGTGTTTCTGACTAACGTTCCTCAGGATAAATTACATGAATACATATAGTTTAGGTAGTGTGAAAACTATTCAATCTTTTGTTATCTAACGTTTAACACTTAATAGATCTTTTTTAATAATAAGCTAACCGATTGAATGAGATGTTCCTTTTCAATTGATGTTTAATTACTGTAGATAAAACAAAATTTAGACTGCATTGCATCAATAACTTTTCACCTTAGATTAATTTGATACTACTTGTCAAGATACCTTGAAAGTATGTTCAAAACCGAATTCATCAACAACATGTCTAATCTACTCATTCATTTATTCATTTATTCCTTATTCATTACACGATTATCAGATAGAAAATCACTGAACAGTTAAACGAAAAAATAAGACTAATTTGACATGATGGAAATCATTTTTAACACAGATGGATGATTTTGATAGAGATTAGTTCTTTGAGTTGAATGGTTCGGTCAACCAAAAACAAAACTTTATCAAAAATAAACGAATTTCAATCTTAACTAATAAAAGAAAACAGTTCTGTTTATCATTGTTACAATGATGATGACTAATTTCTATAATTAAAGAAGAAAACATTGTGTATTTCTTTTTCCAAACAAATAATAACAAGTTAGAACCGATAAGATGACAGTAATAATAAAGCGTATTGCTATTACTATTATTATTATTATTACTTTATTGATTTCTTCACATTTCGTTCATTTACTTTCGTCAAATTGGAAATCAATACGACTGAACATTGAAGGTTTAATATTAAGAAACACCTATTCAAGAAGAAAAATAACCGAACATGTTAATCGATCGATTTAAACAAGAAGTCGACTCATGACAATAATAATAATAAAATAATAATAATAAACAGTTTGTCTACTGTACCACTGAGACTGTCTGTTTGATAATTAGAGGCATTTATCAGGAATCTTTGAAATTGAGTCGGAGTGAATAAATGATCAAAGTGGAATTCGGATTTGTAACCCATAGTTCTGTAGTTGGAAACTTAATACATGGAATTCGATTAGGAATGAGATTTTGATTTTCTAAAAGTGATAATCGCTAAGTAATCAATCAATTTAGATGATGTCTGATTATGGCCATAAAGTAGGACGTTTTTTATGATATAACAAGGTATATGTTTGTGTTACTAAGTTTTCAGTCTTATATGTTATTTAAGATAGG